TTGGCTTCTCGCTTGATGCCGTAGTGGAAGCTGAGGACATAGGGCCTTTGCGAAGTCCAGGCACGGGTCTTAGATTGAAAGGCGTCCGTTTCACGAAGCTTCCACTTTTACCTTTTCCTTTTCGTTTTGACTGGCCTCCGGACCGATTGCCGCGATGGGATAGAAGCCACGGGACAGCGCCAACTCCTGCGCGCGCTTCCGACTCTCAACATTAGACACATAGGCTTCATCGGCGTGGTCCATTGCCTCCTCCAGTGCCTCTGGGACTTCATCATCTTCTTCTTCTTCGAAGACTTCATCATCTTCATACCACGTCCCACTCGTCATACTCGTCACCCTCATACCAAACCTCCTCCTCGAAGTAGTCCTCCTCCTTGTTAGAAGGAGCGGTGCGTCCAAGGTCGCGCGCGTTGGGCCGATGGTCTCCTCCAAACAGGCGGATCAGGGTGAGAGACCAAAAAAATATTTAACGCATCAATAAAAAATATTCCACACGCATCAAAAAATATTTAAAGAAGCAAAAAATATTCCAAATAGCAGTATGAGTAAGAGTAGCAACCGGACTATAATAGCAGCAGTATCGTAGTGGTAGTCGTAGTGTTTTGTGGCAGGCGCAGTACTTTGTGGACCTTGCAATGCACATGTTGAAGTGCAGAGTTGGTGGCCAGTGGTAGGCGCAGGACTTTATGGGCCTTGGAGCGCAGATTTCATGGCAGGCGCAGGACTTTTTTGTGGACCTTGAAGTGCAGATTTCGTGGCAGGTGCAGGACTTTGTGGGCCTTGGAGTGCAGATTTCGTGGCAGGCGCGATTTCGTGGCAGGTGCAGGACTTTGTGGCCTTGGAGTGCAGATTTCGTGGCGGGCGCAGGAGTTTTTGATGTGGAAGTGTAGAGTTGGTGGCAGGTGCAAGACTTTGTGGGCCTTGGAGTGGAGATTTGGTGGCAGGACCAGCGGACCAGCGGACCAGATGACCGGCCACCCACACGACTGGGAATTCCAAGGGATTTCATCGCAAAACGAATATTTTTTTGATTCAGTACATATTTTTTTGATTCGGTAAATGTTTGTTTTTTGATTCGATAAATATTCTTTTTTGATACCTATGCCGGCGGATCAGGGCTTTGCTCACCTTCTCATAGTCCATGACTCCACCGCGCATCGCATTGATCTGCACATGCGTCCAACGTGGTACTCCAGCTCTGTGTCTGTAGCTCCGATATGCCTTCTGTGTCAGTCCTTGATGGGCAGGCTTTGGCAAGACCAGAGTCTAATCCACCACGATTCTGTGGAGTGAACGGGAGTTGGAGGGGCGAACAAGCCGCCACCAGTCGACGCGGCTGCGCCTTGAACACCGCGGGCTGAAGTCTTGGCCCTGCAAACCGGTGTTCGCCTGGGACTGCCACGGTCTCCCGGACATAGGTGAGGATCTTATCTTCAACCAGCTGGAGGAAAACGTAGGCGAATCCAGTGAGGTAGGGCACCGTAGACGATTTCAGCCTGGAGCGTCTCCTGCTCCGCTACCAATCTCAACGTCGTAGAGGTCGGCGCACAAAGTCCGAACGACAAGTCTGTCTCTCTTTTGTCTAGGGCCTGGGGCGTTGCACGCATGGTCTCAAGGGCCCTGAATGACACCACGGAAAACAAAGTACATGCCTATCATTGCATGCGATAGCAAGTCAATCAGAATATATTATATATAGAGCCTCAGCCTCACGAGCAGTTGCAAAAACACACAAGCACTATCTATATAATATATAAGACAATGTAATACATAATATTAGGCCATGCACTGAAAACATGAATATAGAAGCAGAAGATAGCACCTGCATGCTGAGGCGATGCAGTGTCGGAGCACGGTTCCTCGGCTCAAAGATCTCGCTCAATCAAGAAGTGAATGCAACTCAAATGTAACAATAAGCTACTAGTAGCAAGGTGCATCGCTACTAGTAGCATCTAGTAGCTAGAAGCTAGGACAATGCAGAAGCTGTGCGCAACATCTGTACCTGTGCAATGTCATCACAAAGGGTTTCCCACTGAGGGCTCTGCAGAAGCAATGGCCTGAGCATGGCAAAATCCACATGACAATGAGACACCACAAAGGAATTAAATAACAAGTTGATTTTTCCTGGAAAGTGTTGGCAACGCAATTGGACTTTACTTTGCAACCAGTTTTAACATAGTTTAAGGTACACTTTCGACAGTCCTTGAGGGAAATTAGCCTATGTTTTCTGATATATGTTGTGCAAGTTTTAGAAGTATTATGAATATTCCACATCCGTTGCCTGAAGGTTGCCAAACATATCCTTGTGTTTGCAACCCTTCCTCTCTCTTTCTCTCCCACTCTTCCTCATGAGAGGGAACTAAAAGCGACACTGGATTCTCGCCGTTGGTGAGTGAAGCGGTGCATATATACAAATATTATCAATTATTCAACACCTGCAGCTACTAAGGACTTTGAGCCCCCGCCATCCCAAATTCAATGTTGTGCTTTAACTTTGCAAACTCGTGGTGTTTGGAGACTTTCTTTCGCCTGTTCGCCTAAGCTCTTGCTTTCTCTACGACTCTACGTCAAAATTGATACCGGGGAGGAGCAGGGCCGCTCTTCAGAAACCTCAAAGCGAAAGCGAGGTGCCTGATGGAGGAAACTTGCAGACCTTGCTTGTTCATGCTTTTTCAGGGTCTGAATAGATTGTCCATCTCTGTAGTGACGTGGCAAATCCTGAAGCCGGTAATTACAGCTATACTATACCTATTGCATCCCATAGCAGTGTTTTGTTGCTTTTGAATGCTTTAGAAGTGGGTGAAGGTAGAGATGAGTCGTAGATTGCAACAGGTCACGGACCCGCGGAGTATTTTTCACTGCGGGTGAGACGGGTGAGATGGCTCTGACATGGTGAGATAGCACTAGTTCACCTTTGATACAGCATGATAAAATGGACTGTTTTCGCTGGTGAAATGACTCATCAAAACATGATGGAGAGAAATTGAGTTTTGCAATGATCGATCAATGTAGAGTTGGCCTACAGCCCAACTCTTGCTTGCAAGCTTGGTGAAAGCTGCCTTTCAGAATAGGGCACGTTGCTATACACAAAAGCTGGTGAAAGGTGCCATGGTGCTTCCAGACCAATCATAAGCCGGCAAGGCATCCCCTGCAAATGGAACTTCTGTGAAACACGCCTTGTCCCCGTCGAGCCTGTCACCCATGGCTTGTACCATCAGCTTTTTTTGCACGTCCTGCTCTGAGCAGCTTGGTGATGCTTGGTTGTCTGAAACTGACGCAAAATGTCCCCAAAGGGCAGCCACTGAATTCATGAACCTCTCTGCTTCATGCTTCGAGCAAGAAACTTCGAATCCCAAACTACTCAAGTTACTAGCAAACGAAGGACGTGTCTCTTGGACACGCGTGAATCCTGAAGCCTGGTGAGACAGCCTCATTCCCCATTGGCCTCTGGCTGCCCTTCATACCAGGACATCAAATCACCTGGGCAAGACTCTATTCATTGGATACTGTTGCAAGTAGAGTCGGAACTGCACCCGCTATCCATCCTGGCTAAGGAATCCACGAGCATTACTCAAAGCTGGACCTGAATCAAAGCAAGTCGAACAGTAAACATCTGTGGAAGTCCAAGCCGCTTGGAGTCAGGACCGTTGCACGCCGTTGCACTATGGAATTGAAGTTTATGTAAAAAATACGAAGGTGATTGAGAAGCCTGGCCTTGAGCTTGCTCAATTTCCCGCAACAAAAACGGCTCGTAAATGTCCTGTGGCCGAAAGGCCTTATGATTGCTTTTTACAATACCATCGCTGGCAACATTTCAATCTGTTCATGACCTTTCCTGGAGTCTGCTTGCGAGTGGGCTAAAGCTAAAGCAGGTGCAGGATTAGTTTGGACAGCGGCACTGTTCAATGTCCAAGAGACATTGCGTGACGCCTATTAAATGTTTCTCTGCTCCTTAGCGATGGGGAAGGGCAAGCCACACCTTGGAACATCCAGGCAACTGCATCTGCTCGTTGGGCAATGAACCAACGGAACTTCGTTTAAGGTAACGATGTCTCTCATGACTATTCCCTCTTTGGATGGTCATCAGTACAGCAAAAGGGTGATGCCAAAACACGCGAATCCAGAAAAACAAAGTACATCAAAGTACCAATACTTACTGTTAATTGCTCTGCCAAAGGCCCAAGTCTTGAACATCGGGACATTTGTTCTCCATTATGTAGCTATGATCTATTGTCTATTTATATTCTCTTATGATTCGCCAGTGGATCGGAGTTTAAAGGCTAACTCAAGACTGACAAATCCAACACATTGTGGTGCCATCCGATTGAAGCGGCGCTGTGCTGAGACGGAGCTGTAGAAAACGTGCAAGCAAATAAATCCCCAATCTCTGTAGCCTAGATTCTTGTAACTATATAGTGTTTTCAAAATCTGTTTGTGTGAATTTTCCCGTGCCTTTACGATACCGATAATGGATTACTGGCATATGGGTAGCACGGTCTACCAATTGCCTGTAGATCATTGCTGCGTTGCCATGACAGCCTATGAACATGATGAATCGCCAAGTGAAAAGTGTGCGGCTCATCAAGCTTGAGTTCGGGATCGACCACGATGACCTGAGCGCTCAGAAAAGCAAACATCTCTGAACCAATCATCAAGTGCAAAACTGCAGAATGAAACAACATGAATACCTTGGACCCTTGATACAGGCAGTGCACCAAACAACTTGATTACAAGCCTCTGAAAAAGTTTGTATCAGGCACCAACAGTTCTTGCAGAGAAGTTGACGCGCTTTCCCAGCATGTTCTTGCGCATGCGACCTGACGGGAATCTAGGCGATCTGTGGTACATGGATGTCACAGTGCCAGTTGTCGCTGCCTTGCTTGCCCTTCAAACGCTTTGCCACCGATTCAAAGGGGTTGCCATTCGTCTTCTCTTTCGCCTTGTTCACACGTCCTTGGCACAAGGTACCCAGTCTGAGCTGACACCCACCCACCCACCCTCTGTACTGGCCCAAAGATCAGGCGAGGCAGGAGTGTCAGGGCAAAACCAAGAACACACTAAGAAGGACATTGAAAAACTCCGATGGCCTCGGGCTTGCAAAGCAAATGACAACAAACGAAAACATGGGGCGACATGAAGAATTGAAAAAAAACAAGTTTGCTCAGCAAAAGTTCAACTGTAGTTATGTGCATACTGCGTTGCAAAGAAAGTTGAGTGGAGCTATGTCCAGGCGAACCATTTTCAATCAAATAAAACGCAGTGGTTTCCCTTTCTCTCTGGGCTCACAGTTCGCCATTTAGACCGCTGATGGAGCTAGTGAAAAGGGGCTGCGGGACACCATACACATGTCCACATGCAGCAATGCTACCTTACAAGCTAGCAACCCTCTAAGACTCTAAATGACTACATCTCTACACGCCTCCTGAACGCGTGTCCCCTCGAGACGCAAGTGAAAAGAGATGCCTAGCTAAGCCACGACTCAATGCCCCCGAGTGGCACTTCACGCCTTCAAGGCAAGCGGGCGCTTAGTGCATTCTTTCGAGAAGTGTCTTCATCCGTTGGCTTTCTAAGGGCTTGGTGAATATTTCTGCTAACATGTCCAGGGTAGATCCCTGAGCAAGCTTAATCTTCCCAGAAAGGACTTGTTGTTGTGTCCACAGGAAAACTGTATCTACATGCTTGACTTTTCCCAGTCCATGTCGACTGCCTATTGCTAAAACCTGTTGTTGCGTCCATATAGCATGTGATACTAACATGTTCCAGTCTGCCAATAAGCTCTGTTCGCCAAGAGCTTGGCGCGAACCAGATACTAACCCATAGTACTCAGCTTCTCCGGAGTTGAGTGCAATAACTGCATGTCTTGCGAATCGTGCACTTTCCCAAAAGCAAAACTGTACCAGTTGTACTCTTACGAGATCTTAAAAAACCAGCGTGATCTGCGTCGACCCAAACATCAAGTTGGGTGAACTGTGCCTGGTTTGGAAACAAGTGTAACAATCGTGGATGTGATCGCAAATAGCGAGCTCCATGCTTCAGCATCTGCATATGTGCTTGCGTTTGATTCTTCAATCCTATTGTCAGCTCCTTTCCAAGAACAAGTAGACCAGGACGATCTTGGGAAGGGTATGCCTATCTCATGCTCACTGAGCGATAACGACCCGCCTCTTCGCTGCTAATAGGTTCTGACTCATAGACATCCTCCGTTCGCTCTTTCACAAGTGGCGTTGTGACCTTTGCGCCTTCACATCCTACTTCTTGCAAGACCCCTCCACATGTCGTGGATCTGCTTCTAGTTCAATTCCTGCACTCGTCCAAGTGATTTAGCGGTTGAGAAAAACAATGGGTTGTTTGACTCCTTCCATTCCTGGGGGACCAAGAATACCACGAGCGTCAATCGTCCAATGTTCCTTCAACTCCTCAGCGAACCAGTCTAGGTTGGACTTGGAACCTACTCTAGTAAAGTCATCACCATGAACTTCTACACGAATCTGCTTTTCTGGGTGATAATATCCACAAGAGTTTGATTTTCCTCGCGCAAAGCGCATAGTTGTCATTACCGCGCAAATAGCTGCTTCCCAATTTCCTGGTGCGTCGCGAGTTCCATACAAGCTCTTCTTTAACAAACCAACAACATCTGGACCATAAACCTGCTTCTGGTGGAGGTTCCACCAGTACTCGCCCCCTGCATGGCTGGCGACCAAAAGCGTGCTTTCTTCACATCGATGAAAACAAGCAGGTGTCTCGTGTTTCGCGATCAGTTTGCCATTCATGTCTGGAATTTGCTGTGTGATTGCAAGCGTGAACGACATTCGAAGTGCTGCGATGGGTGGCATCGAAGCAAAGAAATCACTCCAAGTGCTCCAATCGTTCTCAGCCTTCTTTTTCAGTTCACGGCGCCCAACCGGCTTCTGTACTTCTCTTTCTCCTCGTCGCCCTTGTTGACGTCAACCCAACAAGTTGAGACGACTATCTCGCCTTTGGGGCGAGGGATGACTTCCCAAACTCCCATGTCCTCAACGATGGAGATCTCTTCCTTTCGAGCGGAAATCACCTTTTCAGCCTTCAACTCCTTTCCACTGACATCATCGTTTCTCGGAGTCTAACCCGAAATCCTCTTCGCAAACAGGGTGCTTGACTGCTTCAACTGGTTGAAGAAAGCCTTACCTTTGCGGCAGGAGCAAATTAGCGACTTCCATTTCAGCATCAGCAGTTTCAGCGGAAACCTGGGCTTCTTCAGCAGAACGTTTTGTTCGCCGGGCGCCGAGCTTCTCTTCTGGTGACTCCAACCGCGGATCATCCGGCAACCTAGGTACCCAAAGCCTGAGAAAGCATGAAAGGAGGTCTGATCATCATTAGGCATCAGGAGGCCAGGTAACGAAACGACGACAGGTCAAGGTGACGGCGGCCGCTCATGTCTGCGCAGCTCATTATATAGATTTTTACTGAAGAGTGGAGTCACAGCTTGTTCAACAGTTCAAACCATCGCAGGTACAAGCCTGTGCGTCCACAGACTCATCCACCCACCAGAAAATGGGCCGCTAGCCGCTAGCCCCCTGCTGCTAATGATTCAACTGAAGACACACTTATGGATATGCGTGCTGACTTGACAGCGATGCCACACGCCGGCCTAGGGTACCATTTCCTAAGAGTACATGAATGAATCCCTGGAGCCTGGAGGTCGTCAAAAAGAAGGTGGCCAAAGGCTCAAGACGAGGTCGGTCCGACAGGTTGACGGC